ACCCTTTTTAAAGATGGGAGTGACATTAGCTACCTTCCAATCCTCAGGAATGGAGGCAGATTTTAAGGAAAGATTACATATCTTTGTCAGGAGATCTACAAGTTCACATTTGAGTTCTTTCAGAACTCTCGGATGTATGCCATCTGGGCCTGGTGATTTTTCAGTTTTTAAGTTGTCTATCAGTTTTAGGACCTCCTCTCTCGTCACCTCAATCTGACTCAGGTCTTTCAACACCCCTCCTGAAATCAGTGGTTCTGGAGTGGGCAAGCACTTCTCATCTTCCACAGTGAAGACGGAGGCAAAAAATGCATTTAGCTTCTCAGCCATTTCCCTATCATCCTTCAATACTCCTTTTACCCCTTGGTCGTCCAAGGGCCCCACTGCCTCCCTGGCTGGTTTCCTGTTTCTAATGTATTTGAAGAAAGTTTTATTGTTGGTTTTTACGTTTTTTGCTATATGCTCCTCATATTCCCTTTTTGCCTGCCTGACCTCAGACTTGCATTTTATTTGCCATAGCCTGTGTTCCGTTTTATCAGCCTCACTGTGACTAGCTTTCCACTGCTTAAAGGAATTCTTTTTACTTTTTACAGCCTCCATTACTCTGTTTGTTAACCATGCAGGCTTTTTCCTATACCTTTTTGTGCCTTTCCTAACCTGCGGAATATATATTTTTTGAGCTTCTAGGATTGTAGTTTTAAATAGATCCCAAGCTTCCCCAATTTTTTTGACCCTTTCTACTTTTCCTTTCAGTTTCCTCCCCACGTGTCCCCTCATATCAGAGAAATTACCCCTTTTAAAGTTAAAAATGGTTGTGTGAGTCTTTTTGGCCAATTCTCTATTTGTACAAATGATGAACTCAACAACATTATGATCACTGTTTCCAAGTGGTGCAATCACTTTTACATCTCTCACCAGGTCTTGAGTGTTACTTAGGACCAAATCAAGGATCGCCTCTCCCCTGGTAGGTTCCGTGACCATCTGCTCCATAGCACAGTCACTGAGAGTGTCTAGAAACTCAATCTCTTTTTCCCGACTAGAACACATATTGACCCAATCAATGTGTGGGTAGTTAAAATCACCTATTATGACACAGTTTTTTTTGTCTAGCTGCTATCTTTAATTCATTCATCATTTTATAATCCTCCTCTATCTTTTGATCTGGTGGGCGATAACAAATTCCCACAGTTAAGTTTCCTTTTGGGCACACTATTTCAACCCATAGAATTTCCAGAAGCGAATCCAATTCTCTTACCCTCTCAATCTTACTGGACTGTATACCCTCTCTGACATACAGAGCCACCCCACCTCCAACCCTTCCCCCCCCCCACCCTTCCGATATAATATATAACTGGGAATCACCGTATCCCACTGATTTCCCTCATCCCACCAAGTCTCTGAAATACCCACAATGTCTATTTTTCCCCAACTTCAAACACTCCAACTCCCCCGTTTTACCTCGGACACTTCTAGCATTTGTATAGAAACACCTATAATTTCCCATACATGTTAAGCCCGCAACCTTCCTCTTGCTCTCTCGAGACCTTGTCAGGCAGTCCATATCACTAGCCATAGTCTCAGTGGACAATTCCAATCCACCTCCCTGTAGAAAAGTAACAGCCACCCGTTCATCTCTCCGAGGTGAGCCATCCCGAACCAGAGACTTTTCATCTCCTGTCAGCTTTCCCCCAACATTCAGTTTAAAAACTGCCCCTCTCAGCCTGGTTCCTTCTCGGGACAAGTGGAGTCTGCCTCTTTTGTACAGCTCCATCTTGTTCCAAAAAGCATCCCAGTGCCTAACACTGATGGTGGGTGAGGGAGTGCCCATGATGAGGGGCAGCCGCACCTAGGGTAAGTTTCCTCAAATGGGACAGTGATAGCTGGTGTGTTGCTGCTGAGAGAGGAGGATCAGGGTGGACAAACAAGAAGTTGGGGGGGTTGTCTCAAAGTGTTCCTCCTGACCTAGAAGCTCTCTGATCTTACAGGTGAGGTGACAAGTTAGGGGGTGTCAGGGAGAGAGGTTAGATAAGCTTGTGTGGAACCCACTTCCACCTATCCTTCCTTTCCCAGTTTCCACAGGTCTGCGGGAGGGGGGATGCCTGGCTTGAAGCTTTTGAACGCAATATTGCCATGCAGGTTGACACTAGCAGGCACAGGATTCTATCGCCATGCTGGCACTACTGCATTCAATGCACTGATTCTGCTGCCCTTTCAGAAAGCCCCCCCCCTTCAGTTTGTAAGACAGAGATTCTCCGGTTTGACATTGGTCCTGTTGGGTTTCTGTGTGGCATTTTCACTGCCACTGTGGCACTTGTTCTGCAGTGAGTGTTGGGCTCCTAGCAAACAAACAACCTCCCAACAGTTTACTTTCCCTGAGATTCTCAGGGAGAGTCTGACTGCTGGGTGCCTGCCTGCTTGCCTTGCTGTGTGTCTGCTGGCTGGGTTAGGTTTTTTCATTCCCATTAGAAACAATGGAGGGAATGGGGGGTAACCTGTTTGGGTGCCCATAGAATTGGACCCACTGGTCCAATATCTTTTGGGACTTGGGGTTTCATGTGGGGAGAGGCTGCAGGAGCCATACTGAACTTATCCATGCCTCTTCTCTGCTTTGATGCTGTTCAAATTGAAATCTGAGTCCTCCCCCCCTCCCCCTTCTCTTTCTCTCTGGAGATAATGTGGGATCATAAAAACACCGAGGGTAGGTCCTGATTTTGCTCATCCCAGCAGAGGAACATCTAGCACACCTGAGACGGCTTAGAATAATAGAATCATAGAATGTTAGAGTTGGAAGGGACCTTGCAGGTCATCTAGTCCAACCCCCTGCACTCTGCAGGAGCCTAGCCGAAAGATAGCCCTACAACATACCCGAAAGATGGTCGTCCAGCCTCTGCTTGAAAACGTCCAGTGAAGGAGCATCCACCACCTCCCGAGGCAGTCTGTTTCACTGCTCAACCACTCCTACAGTTAGGAAGTTTCTCCTGATATTTAGCCAGTAATGCCTCCCTTCCACCCATTAGATCTAGTCTTGCAATCTGGAGCAAGAGAGAATAGATCCGCTCCATCTTCTACATGACAGCCCTTCAAATACTTGAAGACTGCAATCATGTTCCCTCTAACCCTTCTCTTTCCTAGGCTAAACATACCCAACTCTTTCAGCCTTTCCTCATAAGTCTTGGATTCCAGCCCTCTTCTGTTAGGTTCTGCTAGGAATCATCTGATTTGCTTGTTGTTGCTTAGTCTCCAAATGCTAGTGTGGTTTTATAGGAAATTTTGTTACTCAGAGCTCGGTAAATCTTAATATGTAGTATTTTACATTGCTCTTTCAGTCTACTTGTGTTTTCCTGCCTTTTCTTTTTAAGATGTTCAATAAAGATTAAAACTCATGTAGTGCCTGCTGCCATAATTCTCTTCCTGCAGAATTGCCCAGTATTGCATCCACAAACCAGAAATCCTTTGCCCCAGGGATCTGGAGGTGCACTTGTGAAGGAACTTTCACATGTACCTCCAGATTTCTGGGCAACACTACTATACAGAATTATAAGGATCTTCATGTCAATGTATACAAAGCACTTTGAACACTTAGGAAACAAGCTGTCAAACAATTATAAACAATTGCATTATAAGCATTATTTATCACTAGGAATAAGGCCCACTGTGGAAATAAATATGAGCTTTAGAAAGAGGCTCTGGGTGGGTGCCCTGACCTTGGGCTCTCAGCATCAATTTGCTGTGGTGACCTCAGCATGGTATAATGACACAGAGTCCACTGTTTTCTCCAGGGGAACTGATCTCTGACACCTAAAAAGCAGTTGTAATTCTGAGTGATTTTCAGCCCTCACCTGGAGATTGGCAACAGTGGTTCCCCAGGAGGAAATGGCTGGTTTGGAGAGTGGCATCTATGACATTATACCTGTCTGAGGTCCCACCCTTCCTCAAATCCAACCCTTTCTAGGCTCCACCCCTCAGATCTCCAGGAATTTCCCAACCTGGAGTTGGCAACCCTATCTCCTTCCCAGCCAACCATCAATGTGCCATTATCTGCCCTTATGACTTCAGGTTTCCATCTCCTCCCCCCCTCCTTGAAGCCTCTATCTAGACAAAGTACTGTCTTTCTCCTCAGTGGGGACCAAAGCAACTCACATCATTCTCCTCTCCCCCTTTTGATCTGCACAACAACCCTGTGAGGTAGGTTAGGCTGAAAGCCAGTGAGTGGTCTGAAATCACCCAATCAGCTTCCACAGGAAGAACCTGTGTCTGGCAGACCCTGCTTTGAAGTGCTAACTGCTACGTCACTGGATGTCATGGAGGGCCACCTCTGTAGGGTATAATGACACACAGAGTCCACCATTTTTTCCAGGGGAACTGCTTTGGAGGGTGGACTCTATGGCATTCTATTCAGCTGAGGCCTCTCCCCTTCCCAAATTCTGGCTTCTGTAGACTCCACCACAAAATCTCCAGGAATTTCCCAACCTGGAGCTGGCAACCCTAGTCAGGACTGGCCCCAATGAGTTCCCCACAAAGGCAAAAGTAGGCCTGGAAAGGGCCTCCTGTCCCTGCCTTTTACTGATAGAACCAAGCTTGGTTGCCTAGCAATAGCCACTAAAGGGAAAGTGAGCCCCACAGCAGGAGGAGAAGAGAATAGATTGATGGCCGGTGGCTCACCTCAAAGCAGGAGAAGCGTCTTCATCAGGAGAGACAGCCATTTTAGCAGTTTATTTTGACAGGGAAGATTGGCCAAGCTCGCAGTCGGTAGGGGAGAGAGGCAAACCCAGCACCCAGCTAATGGCTGATGGAGCGCACAGCACAGCCAATGGGAGAGCTGGAAAGTGCCAATACGCTAGGGCATATATATATATATATATAAACTGGATTCAACCATCACTGGACAGCACCAGCATCAGCACTACTAGTCAAATGGGGGGGGAAATAAGTTTTGCTCCATTCCACATAACCTGATTGGTCAAACAAGTGTGAGTATCAGTCATCATTTAGTGAATACTTACAGGGTGATCTGCATCCAGTTCAGAGCCATACATGAGAACTCTTTGGGAACATTTGTCTAATTCAGCAATCTTCCTGGGGAACCAAGGCACACAATCAAGTTCTGGAGAAAACATAGAGTGATCACAGGTCTTAGGGTATCATCACAAGATTTTGCTAATTTCAACATAAAGTGAATGAGGAAATAATAGCCTTGCCTTCCTCGTCAGTCCAGATATTTTCCGGGGGATTTAGAGTTACAATGTTAGTTTCATATTTTAACAACTGAATGAGTTCGTTGAATTGTTTTTTGCTGCAATCACAATCCACAAAAATTTCTACCTCTGAACTCCTCCTCTTGGATTTTCTCGATTCAATGTGAACCATACTCACATGTTTTTCCTGCAGACAAAATAAAGATCACTTCAGTGACACACTACATTCACTTAGAACAGAATGATTTAACAGGAATTTCTTAAGAAATGTAGTTTAATGTGTTCAAGTTGGGATCTCACAAGAAACTGCAGGAGAATAAATTACTGGTACATTTCCTCCTGATTCTCCTCCCAGGATACTATAAGCTGTTAAGATCTTGAACAGACCAATTTCTCCATTATCCCTCTCTCTCTCTTTTTCCTCTCTCTCTCCCTTTAACTGATACACAACTGCTCTCAGTGTTTCATGCTTCCCACAACATACTGAGTCCTCCTCAGGTAATTTGGGGGTAATGATATATATTTTTACAAAGAAGAAACAAACCAATGTTTTCTTATATATGCATAAACCCTTAATTTGTCTGTGAGTTGTCTGTTTCACTGAACTCTCAATAAACATGGAGTTGTCAAGGTTGCTATTGGAGGGGATAAATGTTGGGCCTGTAAGAGATCCTAGCAGGGGGCAGAGATCTGTGGTTTGGAAAATTCTCTCTTACATATGCAACCCTCAAATATCTGCTTCCTGGATTCAATGTGTTTTCAGGATTTTGAGCAAACCAATTTCTGCTTCCCTGCTGTTTTTCCCCTTTAATTTTCATGGCTGTCAACATTCCATGCTCCTCATTTTCTGTTCAAGTCTCCCCTCTTTGGTTAATTATAAAGTCATATTTTTCTGCATAACTAAGGAGTTCCCTCACTATGCAGAAATGCCTACATTGTCTAAGAGTGACCTGTTTTTGCTACATAAGTGATCCACTTTTCTGTTAGATACAGTAAAATAAAAAGAAACCCCAATCAATGATTTGTGATGTTAAGTCCAATAAACCTATCACATAATTATTAATATATTCAACACTCCATTTCATTAGAAATCTGGGATGAAATCTATAAATATCACAGGTTAATTAGACATGATTTACCATGGCAATTTCTTGTAAAAGTGTTGTTCACTATTAAAATATGCCATTCAGTGCCAGATTTATAGGCATAGTAAATAACTTCTTCATACCAAAGTAGTATGTATTTTAACCTGTTTTAATCTGACTTGGCACTATGCTAACATACACAAATGTTTCTGTTCCACGAGTCTTACAGTGATCTTAAAAAATGCACATGTAATCCACTCTGAGCCCCTGTGAGAAAGGTGGACTATAAACAAATGAACAAATAAATGTCATGATACCTACATTTTATCAAGTGATCCTGTCCTTGGACTTTTGTTGCCTGAGCTGGTGAAAGTGGGCCTGAACTCTCTAGCACTGGTGGTATACACTGCTGTATACCACCAGTCATGCAAGGCACTTCTCTCAGTGGAACAGAATGTTCCTGCTTCCTCCCCTCCCAGTGATCTCCCCCAAGGGGAGGGGACCCCAGGAACAGCATGAGGACAGGGGACCCCAGGAACAGCATGAGAGGTAAACTGGTGGACTGCAGCAGGAAGAGAGAAATGGTGGAAATTAGCCCACCCCTTCCATTAGTGGAAAATTTAGTCTTTCCATTAGTGGAAAGTAACGTTTTTTCCCACCGTAGAGAACAATGGAGGGAATAGGGGCAACCTCTTCGGGGGCCTGTAGAATTGGACCCCCTGACCCAATGTTCTTGAAACTTGATGGGTATCTTGGGGAGAGGCTTCAGCAGCTACCCTGCAAGTTTGGAGCCTCTCCCTAAAACCACCTCCCCTCCAGCCCCCTAGAATATACCCTATGTTTTCACAATTGACTTCAATGGCCCATAGGATATAATGGGGCCGAAATTGACATTCCGCTGGCGGAAAGACTCCCCAATCAGCTAGTACTGCCGAAATTGACACGTGGGAATTCTTTCTGCCGGCCGAAATTGATTCTGCCCAATTCGGCTGCCAGCCCAGGATGGAGCCTGTGGGGCTGCTGACAGGTGAGGTTGTGGTGGGGCCTTGGTAGGAAGTCGGGGGGGGCAGGCCCCAGAATGTTTCAATGTAGCTACGAGCCTGCTGCCTATATATATATGAACTGTTCACTTCCATTTTTAATATATCTGAGGAAGTGCGCATGGACACGAAAGCTCATATCTTGAATAAACCTTTGTTGGTCTTAAAGGTGCCACTGGACACAAACTTTGTTATAAAAGCGGGATAAGAGACTCTGAAGCTCTTTTACCACATTTTTTTTTGTCCATAAAGGTCCCACGATCACCTTTCTGAGGATCAAAGTAGCCCCACCTTTCTCTTGCACTAGCAAAAAGGGTAATAGGGTTCATCAGGTATTTATGTTTCACAGCAGAACAATAGTTAACTGCAAATGTTCCAACCCTTGGAAATGGCATAATTAAAGTAAATCTGGTAGCATGATGCAAATAAAGATGACATTTAAAACAAACAGAACATCATTATGGCTATACATACACAAACTGTCTTAGAATTAGTGCACACACACACTCATTAGCTTTCACTTGCGTGTCATGGACTTTTCCAATACAAAGGTGAAGGTTTTACCTGGAAGAGTCTGAGTGCTTTTACCAAGCCACCAACTTCATTTTTCAAAGAAAACACCACAGCAGTCTTTCCACTTTCAGATGTCGATTCATTCTTGCCTGCACTTTTGTTGCCCTTTCTGTCATCAATTTTACCAGAACCAGTTCTATTCAGCTGCAAGAATATGGATACAGGAGAGAAGGTTTTCAGCAGGAACTTCTAAAAAAAAATTAATCTTGTCTTTCAAATAGATGATGCTTGTTTGATTTTAGCATTCAGAGTTAAGCATTTTTCTTCCTAAAGGCCACCTTTAGAAAGGAAAATTATATGTTATATGTTACTATCAGACATTAATGATTATTCTAAAAGGAATGAACAAAGACATATCATATAGTACCACCACACTTCTACAACGTGGGTTATTATATTTTGTATATGTCACAGTCTGTATTGGAGTGGTGTCATGGCTCAGATGGGGTGTCACCTGAGGCTGCTGCCACTCTGGTTTTAGGTTCCCTTGAGAAGGCCCAGAGCACCCTTCCAAGACCTTCAGACCTCCCTTATTTGGCCGAATAATAAGCATGAGGACCAGGCAAAGCAAACAACAAATAAGAGATTTATTTTTAGAGGAGGTCAGTCAAATATGTGAAACAAACAAGGTGCAAGAACAATAGCAATAAGGGGGTGAAGAGAAAAGAAACCAAATGCCCTAACACAACTGGACTCACAGTCCCTAGCTCACTGTCTCAGTTGGGCCTGAGTCTACTCACCCTTCCTCTCCCAGCAGCAACTTTCCCTCTGGCCCTGCTCTCTTGGAAGAAAGAACAGCTCTTCTTCAGTACCAATTCTTTTATTATAAGTCACCTTTCTCTGTGATTGGCTAAAATTGGTGCCAAAACCTCTCAGGGACTTCTGGGAGTTGTAGGCCTGGCCTCCTCCCACTGCTACTCAGGCTCCCTGGGCCTGCTAGGCCTTTATTTGCACAGGCCAGATCATGACAAGTGGATATTCTGCTAGTTAAAAAACAAACTTCTACAGTTTATGTAGAACAATCATTTCTGAACCAGATATCTGCACTATCAATTTCACAAAGAAAAAAACAAATTGGGATTTCATATCCTGTTGTGATCCATATAATGCAGGCACTTTTTGCATGTGTTAGTGGATGGAGAAAGGCATTGATTACATGAAAGTCAAACCTATTTCCGATATGTAGTTCTGTCAAAGCAGGATATGAAAATTGATGGTCATGCAGGCCAGTAAGTATGGCCACTCCTACCATATATTCCAGATACTGTTAGTGACCACCCCTGTTCCAGACCTCTGAGCTGAATTAGACAACTGAACCAAGGGGCAGCAGATTCTTTGCTCTGTTTTTTTCTGTGCCAAAGTCTTGCTCTTATCTTTCAGTTGAGGAAGTCAAACAATATAGTGAGCAGGTTACATTGTTCGATCAAGCCCCCTTGCTTGGTGCTGAAGGATAACAACGAAGACAGAGCAAGCTTGACTCTCTGATTTTTATTAAGATCATTCACTGGGGAGGATCCCAGGAGGACAGAGACTCTCCAGGAATACCTTTTTGAGGTAGAACTGCCCCTGTTCTGAATGGCCTAGGCCATTCACAATAGATGGGAAGAAAAGCCAGAATTAGGGGAGTACTGAGCCTGGTGCACAGCCCAGGAAAGGGTTTCCTGCATGAACTGCATTGTTCAACTCTACAAACTAGCCAACTTTAGCTAAGAACTCTCTGTGTGTATTGTGTTGATGGCAGCATGAATGAGGTTCTCGAATAGAATATTAGGAGTGCAGATGTGCTGTGCTCTTTGGGTGGCCTCTGAGCAAAGCTGAGTTCCTAGTTGCTGGTTACCATTTTGTCTCTGTTTATTCAATACACCTTATACTCAAGAAAGTTGGTTAACCTTTATCTAGACACATGTCAAAGAGGTCATTCTTGTTCTGTTGCCTCTTGGCAACCCACAAGACCTAATAAATCTGGCAGGGTTGGTGTTTAACAAAAAGCTGTCATAAGTTAAAATACAACCCCTTTCTTACAATACCTCCACAGCTCATTTGTTAGAAGGAAAGAATACAGCTGCTTCCAGACAAGGCTTCAGATCCTACAGGGGGCACATGACCCGAGAAGCTTTTTTTCAACAAAAGGGAAGCAGGGAAGAAGGAAAACCACATCTTTTGACCAACAATAAACTAGGAGAAGGCAGGGGCAGAATTTACATCCCATACACATCAGAGCATTATTTTAAATTATTATTATTATTATTATTATTATTATTATTTCCCTCAGAGCAGGTTCCAACATATAATAAATAGAACATATATAAGTTTAAAATATGTCAATTAAAACAATTCCAGTAAACAATTCCTAAGATGGCCCAAACAATTACTATACTGCTGCCTCGGGGGTAGGGGGAATAGCAGAACTGTATAGATGGGAGCTCTCCTGATTTCATCCATATGCTTGGTGACATATCTCTGTCTTACAGGCCCTGAGGAATCGTACCAAATCCCTGAGGGTCTGGATCTCAGCTGGAAGTGCATTCCACCAAGCTGAAGCCACTGATGAAAAGGCTCTGTCTCTGGTCAGTGCAAGGTAAATACTCCTTGGTCCCAGGATCATCAGTGTGTTGTTATTAGAAGAGTGTAGTATGTCAGGAGAGGCAGTCCTGCAGATATGTTGGTCCCAGACTGCGTAGGACTTTAAAAGTTAAAACCAACATGCAGCTGAGCACATCATGGGCAGTGTTCCCTCTAAGCTGAGTTAGTGTGAGCTAGCTCACAGTTTTTGTTGTGTAGTAGGTTAGCCACATGGAAGAACCGCTGAGGCATGCATAGTACAGAGCACACTTTATTAGTACACAATACGCACACCCACCAACGGCTGAGTGGCCGCTTATATACATTCTGGGGAACCCCTGCGGAATCCCATTGGCCCATTCAAACCTCCCGCCAATGTCCCATTGGTTCCCTAGAGGCAGGGTGCAGGACACTCTTCCTCATTGTTCTCTGGACTCAAGCTCCACTGAATCGCGGGTGCCCAGTAGCGGTCTGCAGACATAACAGTTTTTTAGCCTCTGGCTCACACATTTTTGTCTTAGCTCAGGAAGGATGGCTCCATGGCAAAGTAATTTATGCAGTAGCCAAATTGCTTGCTCACAACTTTAATGCCAGTAGCTCACAAAGGAGAACTTTTGCTCACAAGACTCCACAGCTTGGAGGGAACATTGATCATGGGCAATGTCTGAGGTCCTTGCAGTTCAAGACTTGCATTTATCTAGCTACAGTACAGCCCTGGAAGGAGTCCCAGACACAGATGGAATTTTGTACCATCAGACCCAGTCGCTAGGGAGGGTCATTCATGCTGATTGGCTGTCCCAGGTGCCAATCATTTTGCTTAGCACCTTTTCATGTAGCCATTCCTCTGCTGCATTCATGAAGTTCATTACTCCAGCAGCCTTTTTTATCTATATCTGTTCCATCATCATGTAGCCTGAATGGTTTATCACACACCAGCAATGATTAAGGGGATTCGAAACCCAGAGGAGTGTTTCCCTCTGTTTGCTAAAGCACAGCGGTGAAGGATAGCTGACCCTCTCAGCCCACTCCCAGTGTAAGCCTCATGCGGCAGATATCTGAGGTTAGAAATGAGCAGGAAGATGGGCATAGCTATCTGTCTACAAAACAGTTTAAACAGAGACATAAGTGTGATACAAACTACATATTTATTGAACAGTGTCAGGAATAAAATTCAGATGATGAGACAGGTGAATGGGCTTGACAACTTTCTTAGTCTAGCATGACTCCATTGACAGACAGTCGTGCTGACAGACAGCATAACCACAGGTAAAGTTGTCCCTCTCACTGTTGGGTTCCGATAGATTCAGCTGTGCTGGTCAAACAACTGTACATTAAGCAAGTTGCAATGGTGCATGTGTCAGGCTAGAATGCATTTTTGTCCAGGGGTCAAAAAAAATGCTGTGTCTACCTGTGGAGAAGTTCTTGTGCTAGCAACAAAATAGGGGGGCAAGGGTTTTATGTACTAGAAGATGGGCTTGGGGTATGCCGAGCTTCACCATCTCAGTCATTGTTATCAGACTTGGTAGGTGGCTGTGGCGGTCTGGAAGGCAATGATGGGAATAAGCTATACCTGTTATTTTTTCCTATTCTGCTAGTCCCAGCAGTGCTTGGGTTGCTTAGGCAAAGATCTGGCCCTGGAGTTGTCTGGTATGCTGCTGTTGGCACATGTGCTGGGGGTTACCTAGCACAAAGGAGTTTACCTAGAACAAGGGAGTTTACAACTTTACATCAGAGCAGCTAGATGCAAACTGGTCACTGTAGCTGTTGACCACATTGCAGAATTAGCAGATGACTGGCACAGCATTGCAAATAGTCTGTTGCTATCTCTACCCCTGCCTGAAAAAATGCTAAAATAATGCAAGGACAGTGACAAATAATGTTCTACAATAGCAACAAACAGCAAGTGGGCTCAAATACTCTGCATATGGTGGTGTTTCCCACTTAGGTGTTTTTCCGATTCCTCTATCTCTCCCTTGGTATTTCCCCACATATTGAGATCCACCTAGGGAAGATAATGTCTTTATTGGGCCAATACTTTACACATCCCTTATAGGGAGTTGGATTGGAACTACAGTTTCTGTTTGGGCTGCTTTATGGGGCTCAGATCCTGCAAGGCAAAAGGCATAATGAATGTTTGGCCACCGATAGCAAAGGCTGATATTCACTCAGAAATGTCATGATGCTTCATGTTTCCTCCACTTGCATGTGTGGTTACACTGGCATGACATCACACCGAGAGCACAGTGATGGTTTGCTTGTGTATCTCCAAGGAGGATTCCCCCTTTCTGCACTTTGCATAGGTACCCTGTGCCTTTCGTATGGGAGACACCACTAGGAACTGTTGTGTGAGGAAGGCGGGTACACGTGTCTGGGGAGGAGACATCTGCAGCAATCAGATTTTGAGTCAGGGAGTCTCCCTCTCCTTACTTGTGTGGGGTACTTTGTCCTTGCATCCCCAAGTTGAAAGAGTGGAGGGTGCAGATTTGTGTTCATGTCCTGAGGTGGACTATCTATAAGAATTCTGAGCAGAGCAGTGTTTGCAATATGCTGTGACATCACTTATTTCCATCCTTGGCTGTGCA